GGTGATTTGTTTTGGCAAGCCTGCCCATCTAAAGAGGCTCATGTAAACAGACATTCATCCAGGGAAAGCGAGCTATAGCCAGGTTACCTGGGTGGCTCGCCTCTATATAAGCAGCCCCTTACACATGTTTTAGGCTGACTGATAGCCGATAGGAGGGCTACCATAGCAAGCACATGCCATACACTGGGTAATATTAGATGGGCTATTGATTGCAATGCTGTCAAATGTGACTGCATTTCAACTATGATTTCAAACAGATCACATATATAAAAGTATACATGTCAACTTAGCAAATATTTAACACGAAATACAACATACATCATACATGTATATCACACAAATAAAGCCCCGCTTACACGAGCAAATTTTATTTGACAAATTTCATATGTCAAAGATATTTTGCTCGTGTAGATGATAAATTTGTGACAAATTTATTGTGACAAATGCATTTGAACAAAAGCTAGCATGCTAGCTTTTGATCAAATGCTTTTGATGAAATGAAATTTGTCAAATAAAATTTGCTCGTGTAAACGGGGCTAACAACACATATAAGTAGAGACTGTAGATTAGACTTATGGACTTCTGCTAATACAAATTAATCGAAAATTAAAACTGAACGTCTAGATCGGGAAATCGGCGGCGAAGCGACTAAAATACAGGCCTTCGTCTTCGATTTAAAAATATAACTATACAGTATATCAAGTAACTTTCCGCACACAAATATACGGTGGCCCAGACGCGACAGCACAAAAACAGTTTTTGTATTTTTTGATTTTTTGATTTTTGTATTTTTTGATTTTTGTATTTTTTGATTTTTTGATTTTTTGATTTTTTGATTTTTGTATTTTTTGATTTTTTGATTTTTGTATTTTTTGATTTTTTGATTTTTTGATTTTTTGATTTTTTGATTTTTGAATTTTTTGATTTTTTGATTTTTGTATTTTTTGATTTTTTGATTTTTTGATTTTTGTATTTTTGTATTTTTGTATTTTTTGATTTTTTGATTTTTGTATTTTTTGATTTTTTGATTTTTTGATTTTTGTATTTTTTGATTTTTTGATTTTTGTATTTTTTGATTTTTTGATTTTTGATTTTTGTATTTTTTGATTTTTGTATTTTTTGATTTTTTGATTTTTGTATTTTTTGATTTTTGTATTTTTTGATTTTTTGATTTTTGTATTTTTTGATTTTTTGATTTTTGTTTTGATTTTTTGATTTTTTGATTTTTTGATTTTTGTATTTTTTGATTTTTGTATTTTTTATTTTTTGATTTTTTGATTTTTTGATTTTTGTATTTTTTGATTTTTGTATTTTTAGATTTTTTGATTTTTGTATTTTTTGATTTTTTGATTTTTGTATTTTTTGATTTTTGTATTTTTTGATTTTTTGACTTTTGTATTTTTTATATTTTTTTTATTTCTTTGATTGATTTTTTTTCAGTATAGATATACATACTGTAGCACAGGGGTCTTCACCCCTTTTTTTCGGCGACCCAAACCCAAGCTTCATAGGTGTCCCGCGACCCTGAACACTGCCAAAATTTGAATCAAGAATATAGTCGAGTGCTGAAACATTATTATTTTTATTACAGCTATATAACATCGACAGTATTACTTAACTGTTAGAATTATCGTTAATAACGATTGTAGAGTTCTTAACTTTCGCATCAAGTGTCATTTTTTGCCCCTGACAATTTTTTCATATCTCGGTATGTAGGATGTTGTGGCAAGCTTCATGTTAATCGACAAGTTCTCATTTGTCAGGCGGCTTCTGTATTTATTCTTAATGAACGTCATCGCGGAAAAAACTGATTCGCACACATATGTGGTTCCAAATCTCAGCAATACCTTCTGAGCCATTGATTTTAGTTCTGGATATTGTTCTTCGCTGAGACCTAGCCAAAATTTTGATAGATCTGAATCAAATTCCAGTTTGGCAACTGGTTTCGCTTGGAGTTGGCTCAGTTCCATTGCAAACTCTCCGCGTGGTTTTCCGGTAAACGGCGCCTGTATGATTGTGAAATCTTCCACCTCTAGACCTGGAAATCGTTCTTGGAAATTAGTTGCAAGTTTTTGTAAATAGTCGCACAGAATCCGGACTTCGGGCGTGAAGTCAATATCGTCATCATTGAGAAAGCAGATCAGTTCCAAGAAACATTCGAAGTGTATAAAATTGTCCTGGATTGCTTCTTCTCGTAGCACGCCAAGCTTGTTTATGAAACCACGGATGCTGTTGTGTAACTCGAACACAAACTTTCCCCGTCCTTGTAGATTTGTATTGAGGAAGTTCATATGAGTAAATACGTCAGTCAAGAACGCCAGCTTAGCCAAAAAATGAGGATCGTTGAATTTAGTGGCATTTATATGCCCCTTCTCTGTCAAAAATTGATAAAGTTCCTCTCGAAGTAAGAACACCCGCTTCAGAGCGCGACCACGTGACAGCCATCTCACAGTATTGTGAAATAGCAAGGTTTCATATTCGGCATCATTTTCTTCGCAGATTTTTTTGAAGAGGCGTGCATTCAAATATCTCGCTTTCACGAAATTGATTATGATGACCATCACATTTTCAAATTCGACCGATAGGTCCTTGCTCGCAAGGGCTTGCCGATGAATAATGCAGTGGTTGAATTTCATGTCGGGATTCACTCGCTTCACTCGCCGTTTAAATCCGTTCATATTACCAATCATAGCTGGTGCACCGTCTATGTTGCATTCGCTGATGGATCCCCATTCAATGCCACTCAACGTGAAAAATCTGCTAACAATATCGAAAATATCTTGTCCTTTAGTCGTCGTTTCCAACGTTAGTACCTCAAGTAACTCCTCTTTCAAGTCTTCTTGTGGACTTATATATCTCCCATATAATGCCAGCTGTGGCTGCGAAGTATTGTCAGTTGATTCATCCAAGGCAATACTCTTTTGGGGCGATTCTTTGAAATCTGAAATAACTTGCTGTGAAATATCATTTGCACAATCAACAGTTCTTCTCCATACTGTCGTATCACTCAGCGTTACGCTGTCGGCCGCTGTCTTCACTTTCCTGTTGAACGATTCACCTTCAAACAATTCGACGAAATTCTGGAGGCTCGGCTTTATCATTACTTCACCCTCGACATACGGTCGTTTGGATTTCGCGATTAGGAAGGCCGTTTTCAGAACAAATATTTGTCTTTTCTGTTCGTCATTTAAACTTCCCATCGTTATTTGTTGTGATTTATCAAGATTGGCGGCAAGTTTCTTGAATACTCGCTTGCGAGCATCTTCTGACAAAGCGAATATATTTCTATGTGTCTCTAAATGGCACTGAAGTTTGTTGGGCTTTATAGACTCTGCTGCATATACGTGTTGACATTTTACACATAACGCCCGCCCATTGACTTCTTTCACACCGTACTTACCCAGCCAACTGGGCACGATGCTGCGTTTAGTAGGCATCTTATTAATCCGTCCAAATCACTCAACCATGTCTTGACTTCACAGGAAAGAAGGGTTAATAAACTGCTATGCTTTTCATAACATCAAAATGATCAAATGCAAATAAAACTTTCGATAATTAAAAACATTATGGCTTTTCACCGAAAGCTTCCGAGTGTATGACGACGACTCTACTTTGGAAGACGACGTGCGCCAAAGGCGCGCCGAGTGGTGCTAAGCCATAATGTTTGAGTTACATGAAGTAAAAGGTATTATATCTAAAGCTTTACCAGTTTACCTGTTTACCATATTATTCTAGCAATCTAGCGCTTGAGTGCTTCATAATAATCGTGAAAAAACATTATAATCGCAAATTTTGCAAGGAAATATTCATATGTAAATATGTGCATCTTATCACTTGATCTCTCGTCTTGTAAAGTTTACTAGTGTAAGTTCGCGACCCTAGACAAGCATTGCGACCCATGCGACCCAAGACAAGCCTTGCGACCTTCGAGGGAGTGCTAGCGACCCAATTTTGGGTCGCGACCCATGGTTTGAAGACCTGCTGTAGATGAACGCATGGTTAAGTCTGAGCATAGGTCAGGGATTAGGCAATACATGAAGAATAAGCCTACAAAATGGGGGATAAAGCTCTGGGTATTGGCAGATAGTTCAAATGGGTATACAATTGATTTCAATGTTTACATAGGTAAGTCATAGCATGAAGTACCGTTGCAGAATGGCCTTGGTTATGATGTGGTGATGAAGTTGGTGAATCCATATTTGGGGCAGGGGTATCATGTATTTTTTGATAATTTCATCCCCTAAGTTAGTCCAAGATTTGTTCATGAATGGGACCCCATCATCAGGCACATGTAAAACTAACAGGGATGGTTTCGCCGAATCCATGAAGGATGTGAAGGTGTGGGCGAGGAAGTTGGAGCGAGGTAGTATGCGATGGGCAAGGGAATCCAATGTGTTAACCCTGCAATGGGTTGATAACAGGCCTGTTTCCTTGATTACATCAATTGATTACGCAAATGATAAAAAGGATGTGGAGAGAAGGACGAAAACAAAAGGAGTGTTTGAAAAGAAGATTGTAAGCCAGCCCTATGCATTTCATAGATATAACCAGTACATGAACGCAGTAGATAGGTCAGACCAAATGCTTGCATGTCATAATGTAAATCGTAAGTGTTATCGATGGTGGAAAACATTATTCTTCCACTTAATAGATATGGCAACTGTTAACAGTTTCCTTCTATTTCAAAGCCATCGTAACAGTGACCCGGGTAATCCGGCATTGCATCGCAAGTCCACATATACTATAGTTGATTATAGGGAAGAGCTGGTTAGACAGCTTTGTGGGTTAGCAGAGTATGATAGACCTCCTCTGAATGAGCAAGTGCAGGCTGTTCCTCCCCCTGATCAGTTTTGTACTGCCCATCTACCTAAAACGGCAGCAAATGGTGTAAGAAGGAATTGCGTTGTTTGTTACGTGGAAGGTCGAGGGGAGAGGAAGGTTTCTACTTATTGTACTGCCCCTCAGTGCAATAGGCACATGCATGTTGCTGGTGAGCATGATTGTTTTGCAGTATGGCATAGTAGGGATTACACTGGTAAGAGGTCATGAGTATTTCTGCATTTGGTATTGTGGGTGGACTGAAACATGTCCAACATCAAATTTGTCAAACAAATGAAATTTGTATCATATTTTCCCATTATGATTACAGCTCATTGTATGACATACATTTCATTTTTTAATAAAATTTTCCTTACTATTTGTGTTACATTTATGTATATTTAATGTAATTTTTTACTTTATTATTAAAAATTAAAAAAAGGAAGTGTGTCGTTCAATCTCACAATAGTACTTTTGGGTGCCTGTACAGATATTTTTTTTACTCAATCAAAAGGGGAAATTTCCCTTGAACATAGTAGAACATAATGGTGTCAGCTACTTTTAAAATTATGTTGCTGCACACATTTTTTGTTTACCAGGGGGGGGGGGTGACTTTCCCAATTCGGGTTGCCGAGTTGCTCAGAACCTTTATTTTGACAAATAATGGAAAGGATTTCACTGGAGAAAATGTGGGAGAGGAGTTGAATTCTTAAAGCCTACCCACCACCACTATGTAAAAAAATATATATATGACTCTGGCATGATTACTACATTGGAGACATGTCAATGAAATTGAAGGTAAGATTCTGCCATTTCTAACGGGTGAATTTCAAAAATAAAAAAAAAATATATTCTGTTAGTCAATTATTTTGAAACTTGGCACAAATATACTATATAACCTAAGCAAACTTTTCATAAATATAATGCATTGAAAAATGTGCATTGTTTGATCTTAATGAGGCAAAATGCAAATATTATTGCCACATTTTTGCATAATTTATGCAAATTTATGCATTTTTGGGTCACATGTCACATTTGAAAACGGAACCAACCGTCATCAATCGATAGCCGAAGTCATGAGCTTTCCAACGATGCATTATGCGCTTAAAAGGGTCCAGTACATGCAGAGAAAATCACACCGGAACATAACACACCTATTTATCACGTGAATAGGCTGGTCAAGAAAGAGTTTTGTCCTTGTTTATATTCCACTATATTGTATAAATTAGCTGGGTCCAATTGGTGAATTTGGCAAAAATACAATACACACGTGAAGGCGAAGAACATATTTATGAATAAACGTTGACTAACATAGATAATGAGTTGTATTGGGGGGTTTATTTTAAGAAAAATTTAGAATTGCACATATAGGGATGTTACGAAGACAACGGGTGTTTGACTTGGGGGGGGGGTGGGTCGAAGAATTTTTTATCCGCTTATAGGTGACAGAATAATGGTGGGAGAATTGGAGAAAGGCCAGACAAACTCGATTTTGGGTGCGGGACCTAGGGGGTGTTCTCGTCCCAAACAATTTGAATCTGGAGGCTCTTAAGTTCTGGGAAAACTGTTTCAAAGCATGTAACTGGGAATCATGGATATTCAATATATAACAACCTTAAATTTGCATTTGAGGCAGCAAAGAAATATTAGGTTCTCCCACTCGAATTTCTTTTGGGAAGCTTCGCTCGCCCCATTAATTTTACCTTCTTTTCCATTACCCCAGCACGCATTAAAGTGATCTGTGAGGAAAATAGGAAGGTCTAGAGTCCTCCCCCCAAAAAGTTTATATTTTTGATGCTCAATTAATGACAGCATTTCTGGAATTTTTTGGAGCATCCACAAGGGTAACGAGTAAGTGAGCTAGAAGACTGTTTTAATTAAGGCTATTTTTGTTAATTTGGTGACTACACAGTTGTGTTTTAAGAACTGCACAAATGGATTTAGAACTGCACATTTTGTGTAGAACTGCACGTTAATTAAAATAAACCCTGTTGTATTGTTATTCTATTGAGTTTCCAAACCATCTATTCTATTAACTGTGGTTAATTAGAATCACTTCACTGGCGTGGTTGATGTGACCTTTTAGGCCCGTTTCATACGCCGTACTTCACATGTGCCGAATACATTAAAGACAATAGATAATGAGCTGAAATGCCTCATTACCTATTGTTTTTAATGTATTCGGCACATGTGAAGTACGGCGTATGAAACGGGCCTTAATCAACTTTAAATAACAAATGACGCAAGACCATCAGATCACGACACTTTTGGTATATAAAAGGGGTGGTGTGTGAATTGAACAAGTCACATATTATTGGCACTAATGAAGATCCGGGCTTACGCATCGAAAGCTTTGCAATAATAAACTTACGTGGTTTTTCCACAAACAAAAAGTATTATAAAGTATTATATTTGAATTAAGACAGTTATGGATTGATAGGGATAAATTCCATAAATTGTATCAAATATCTATTTTGTATTTATTTCATATTTTTAGAGGTCTTGAAGGGAGTCCAGAAGGGGGTCCAGCTTTTGCACCTCCCCCCCCACCCCGAAAATAACTTCGCTTTCGTCTTTATTTAAAGGTGATGTAAAGTCCGTTCTGCGATATGTTCTGCGCGGGCCAACATACATACATACATACATACATACATACATACATACATACATACATACATACATACATACATACATACATACATACATAAAAAACGTTATTTAAACCTATTAATATTTACAAGAAATTAACTATTATATACAAAAATATGACAACAAATACAAAAATATGACAAAAAAAATGCAAGTGATTTTAGCTGCACGATACACACAAGCAAATTTCAACTCATTCTTTGTTTTAATATCGATTTGAAAAAGCTTAAGGATTATTCCAATGCAAGGCACCATTACAACTGAAGTACCTCTTGCCGAATTCTTTTTTCGGCATAGGTGGTGCTAAATCAGTATCCCTCTTTCTAAGATTGTATTATGTCTTTCCAAGAGGTGTTACTTAAAGTCGAAATTACGGCAAACATTGCATCCCTTTAGTCGAACTTAGCAGTTTGTAATGTTATTTGAAAAATCTTCAAACATTTATTACAGTAAATTGTTTAGCGCTCATTCTTGAGCTGAAATTCAGACCGCGTCGTTGAGCAGGCACGTCGTAGATCTTAAGCAATGTACTTTACCTAGGAGTCAAGGTAAAGTACGAGCAACAACATGGAAGCATGAAAATCTATTTGAATGAATGTCAATTGAAAGTTTTACACGGTATGTTTCAACAACCCAAACAACATTAGCCAACTGCCAACATAAACAAAAATAAAAGCAACCTTCATTAGAGCAAAGTAAAAAAAATAAAATTTGAGAGGCCAACATAGGGGCTTGAGGGACTTACTCCCCCCCCCCCCTCCAATTTATACTTCATAAAGGCCCAGAATAAACAATGCAGGGTCACTATATGAATAATTTCCCTATCCAACGTCTTTAATGCGAGACCCGTTAGAGCTTGGAAATCTAAGATCTAAGATGTGCTAAAAAAGAAAATAAATAGAGAAATTCTTATCATTTGTTCCGCCAAGAACGATGCCTAAAATTTAGAATTAAAAAAACAACTTTTCGTCGTCAATTTTATGGAACAAAACAATACTGAAAATATTTGAACATCAAAGTTAAGCATTTTAATTAATTTTAACTAAGCAACGTTACAAAAGCTACGTTACAGAATATTGACCAGATGTAAGTATATCATTTGGTTAGAATATATTACTTATTTAGTAAAAGGCTGGTTTAGGAATACAGACGTGAAAATACACAAGTTGTTACAAACTTGAAAACAAGTTGTAACAAGGTTGTTGTCAAGCCCATCTCATAATGTGTTCGCACAGCTTGATTCCAGTTGTTTTGAGAAGCCTAGAACAAGTTGTTATAATTTCTTACAAGGTTGATTATGTCCAACAAGACTATTACAGGCTGTTCGATAAAAAGTTGCTACGAGCTTGTTGTCATCAACTTGTTACTTGTTACGTGCAAGCAGACGATATCAAACTTGCTGGAACAACTTGTTGCAAGTCTGTTGGCCTGATCAACCTAGTTAGTTACAAGATGATAACAACTTTTTCAAGACTTGTCAACAGCAGTTAACAAGCCGTGAGAACACATTTTGTTTGCAAGCTGTGAGAATTTCACGCGTGTAATAGGGGACTTGCACTAAGAGGTCGTCCGATCTCAATCGCCTTGACAAAACAAATTGTGTTTAAGATAATACTCTAATAGATTTTGAATCATTTGTTTTGGACCACTTTGTTCGACGACTCGTTTTTACCATCCAACATAGAGTTCGAAATGAAACATAATACAGTTAAAGGATTAGTGTTACACCATGGTATATATAGCGGGAACTCGAGCGAAGGTAGTAATATAACCACTCAGCACAGCATTTCTACATTGGTACTACCTACACTTGTGCAGACAGTTTTAGTCTATATATAGCGGGCTTTTCTTAGAGTTTTTATCTTACCCAGAAGAAACAAATGACGATGAAATTAACTTGTTTGTACATTTCCAATAACAATCACTGAGATAAAAGAAGCAAGGGTTCTCAATATACGACGGATTACAAAAACATTCCCAGACCAACTGATGTACTAGACCCATAATGTGGAATTTGAATGAGCACTACCATGGTGTGATACTAATCCTTTCAATACTGTTAGAAGTTGTTATTCTTTCTAAAACCTGACATAACATTATCAAACCGATACTTACATATTCCTTGAAGGGTATAATATACTACGTACAAGATGAAGAAGCTTTCGTATACGTGTACAAAACTTTTATGTTAGTTAGAATATTGCCATTATAGTCTATCATTGTGGAAGCTTACTAGAACACCAGCAGTACACGTTCTTTGATGTTATTGATGTTATATGTCACGTGACCTCGTAGTGCTATTAACCTGGATAGCTCATGAGCTTTGTAAACAATTAGTTGTTCATTTTAGGCCATGTGATAATTACATCTCCTTCACAAATACAAAGGACAGTGAAAAATTCACAGGGACATAGGACAGTGAAAGATTTGAACATCAAATGATCTGAATTTGCAAATTTCTATAACAAGCTCAGGAAATTGCGGATAAATTCAGAAAATTGCTTTCTCATTTGTCTACAGGCCTGCCTGTTCATATGACCTCAGCTTGAAAGGAATTTGCTAATTTTGTCAAATCCGTTACAGCCTCGGAGTAAATAAGTTTCTGATATACTGTACCTTCTTACTATAATTCACAGATTACATGTGCATATACCTATATCAGTGTTTAAAGTTACATCATACGATAGACGTGCGTCTGGTAGATTGGACATTTATCATTGATAGACCTGGAGCGATGGTGATTCGGAGAAATATTACCCGAAGTTAGTAAGGAAATATCATCACCGAGGGTAATATTTCGCCGAATCCCTCAAGCAGAGAGTCTATAAAAGATATATTGTCCCAAAAATTAAAAGCGTCTAAGTTGAGCATGTAAAACTTGAGACATGCCTTCGCGAATTCGATGTTTTATTTTTGGATTAAGTATCGTCGCCATTCTGCCGAATCACCTATAGTTTGGAATATAGATGACAATATTTTTCAAAATTTGCTTTAAAATTTTCACAAAAACCCCCGAGATTTTTGAAAGTATAATCGCCGCGCGTGGTTTACGCGAATCATGTCTCCTGTGGCATGAGCAAATCGCCATGAGATATGAGTCAAGTGGGTAACTTAATGACGTAAGGCGCGATTCGATGATAAATTTTATGCTCACGTGGCACAAGCTTGGCTTTGATTGGAGACTTTGAATTTGAGGTACAACATTGCGCAACTATTCTTCGATGCGTGTAGTTTCACGAGTAAACAGAAATACAAGTATTCTATAAAACCAAAAGTGTACAGTTTTCGTTTTTTTAGATGCGACATAGCGAATCTTTCATCAGTAAAATGACAAAAACGCGTGCGGTCGCTTTCTGCTATCTAATGGTTCTCCTGATCTGCTGTGCACTTGTCTTTACGCCTGTGTAAACTATATCATAACAATTCAAATTAAAATCGCTATAAAACAACGAATAACCAAAAAGAGTGCAGCAATCGACCAACATGGAACAGGTTATAACACAGCCAACGTTGTACCAAAAATTGGAGATAATCGTTTTAAACCCAAGTTTCAAATCCGCAAGTTTATGCGTCATTTTTGTGTCAGGCAAAACAAGAAAAGTTTTAATCAGCATTTGTCTGGCTTTCCTCCCCGAAAATATGGGGCAGAACAAGACCAAACGTATTTTTCTTAATTTAATCATCATTTTTCTACTCGTTCTCTTCACTGAAAATTTGGTAAAAGTACATCTAAGATTCGTTGTACAACGTTCAATATACAACAAGACGCACGTCCATCATACGATGCAACTTTGAAACTGATTTCGGATATTTCTTGCACATTCATTACATACATTCACATTCCTTAATTTTAAAGCTAGATTTAACAAACTAAATAAGAATAGAAGAAAGAAAAATTGAAAACCACGATCAATCGTCTGGATCTAAATAAATGAAAGGAGAAATATTTATACCAACACAGATAGATTGTATACAGTACGAAGATGCCTTAATGTCTGTTCGCAGGTACCAAGTCTTATTACATGTTTGTATCCAAATATAATAATAATGACCAGAACAAAATGGTGCCAACTATTCATATATTTGTGCTTCCAGAGTAAAATACGATAACCAAGGCATAGAACCTGGCTACGTAACAGCGCTCATATCACAAGCAGGAACCCCCAATGTAAACATGTGCAAAACAGATTGTATACTGTATCTTCAAATAATTTATATTATCATTTACGTATTCATTTTCTTAACGTTGATTGGCTAATTTTCTCTACAACCTGGTGAGAATAATACGTCAGCTGCAAATAACTGGCATAAATAATGTGTGAGCATGCGCGCTTTTGAAATCAACTCAATTGCAAAATATCGATTTACGCAAGTGCATTTAAGATTTTTGAAAAGAAATTCAAATAAACACAAAAGTAAACATGGTTCGCTTTGCTGAGTTTTCAGAAGACGACTTGGTATCTTTGCTAGAAGTGATTGTACAGATTTGTTGAACTTTATGACGACCACAAATAATCGATCTCCTCGCCAAATAATTGATCTCCTCACCACTGATAAATCACAATATTTCGCTCAACTAGGTCGAATAATTGTATTTGTTATATAGCTAGGGTGAACACCAAACATGATTGACTGATTTGTGGTCACGTGACATCAGATAAATGCACTGTATCCCGCCGGGCAACAAGTGAAAAATTGTTGCCCGCCACGACCGGCTACGTACATAAATAAACAAAATGGCGGCACAAATAGCATAATTACAAACTACGATTTTCCAAGTTTGTGTTCAAAAAAAGAATGCAAAGGAGAAGAAAAATACACAACAGGCAACAGGATATGTTGCTGAAAAAGTATAGGTTCTTTTAATTTTAAACTCATTTACAATATACAGTTTTTGTCACGAATTACAATTGTTGTATGAATGTTGTTGAATGTTGATTTTTGTTTGTCGCTATATAATAAAACGCTTAATGTCTGTTCCCTCGGGAAATAGTTAGTTTTGTTTTCCCTCGAATTTCAATATTCCAACATTGAGACTCTCGGGAAAACAAACAAACTATTTCCCTCGAGAGCAGACATTAAGTGTATAATAATACACCAATAAGACCGAAAAAAAATATGTTTCCATTACAATATTCCAATCCTTGAAAATTAATGATTTCGAAGCCTTGAATAGAAATTAAATCGTGGCACATTTGTGGCAGACTTATGTGGGAATTTTGGTCGTTTTCTCTGCAACAAATGATTAAATTAAAAACGCTTGTAGTTGCCTAATTCTGACTAGTCTAAATTCTGGCATAATATATGGTGGCTTAAATCGTTTCAACTTTTCAGCAGCGCTAAATTATCGTAACAGGATGATGTTAATTCTGTAATATGGTCATTCCATAACAACTTATGTTTGAAAAACATCCCATGTACTGTCCGTGATGAAACTCGCTTAATTTGCTTAAATTTTAGGCTATTGATCAAAGTCATGATTTTTGGTCATTTGTTGTGGAGTAAAGAAAATGAGAAAAATGAGATTAATCTTTCGCAAGGTTTGACTCTTCAACATGAACAGTTTAAAGTTGTGGTAGAATTAAAACCACACGTCCATGAAATAAAAAAGTTCAAATTTGGTATTACATAAAAACATTTCAAAGGTAACTGTTATTCTTTGATAAGTCAATCATCCCCGAGCCAACGGCCGGGCGTAAGCCAGCGAGGGTACTAATTCCGCCCGGCTATTTATTAGGGGTGGAAAAATAGGCGAGCACGCGAGCTCTGCTCGCAGGAAATGTTAAACAGCTGCAGAAAATTCGTTTGAATGAAGATTTGCTATTGAAAATTTGAAGCAAACCTTAACACCCATGTCGCACTATGGCCGCAACAACATTATGGTTGATAGACATTATTCCTTGAATTTAAAACCATGAAGGTCAAAAGCCAAAATTACACCGATTTTTTTAATCCAACTTCACTCCAAAACAAGTTTCGTGAACGTAGAGAGATTTAAACCTTATTTTTTAAAAGCTGAAAAGCGGAGTTTTCTTCAGCACGTTCAAATTTGTTAAATATTTCAAATATAAAGCTGATACCTCAAAAGTTTTTGCAGCTAGTTGATGCAGAATACTTAGAACTATCCAGAAAACTAAGTTAAATCGTTGAAATTGAAATCTTCGGACGAAAAACCTAATTTTTCGGTGTATTTTTGCTAAAAAAAAACAAAGTTACGAGGAAATTGAACTCTCCCAAGTTCTTTTTTGAAAGTCAGAGCGCGCGATACTTCTCCCGGGCGCCAAATCATAGGTTTCACCCACTGGTTTCTACGGAAAAATTTTTGAACAATTTTGAACGTTTTAGAGATGTCAAAAAGCACTCAAAATAGACAACTATACCTAGACATTAATACAAACCAGGTATTGGTCGGTGGATTTATGTTGGGTTTTTTTAATTAAAGAGCGAAGTTCGCTTCGGCACGTTCAACCAGTGTCGTTTTTATGAAAACAAACCTGACACTCTGTTGCTAAATGCATATGCAGCAGTTCTAACTATTTAATAAATCGTATTTGGGTTTTTAAAATTGAAGTCTTTTGATGAAAAACGACTTTTTCTTGCTCATTACCATCGAAAATAACTGTCCTTAGTCCTTTTAAAAGTGCAATTTCCTCGCGCGGTTTGCCTCATCTTGGCTTCAGGCAAGTATGGGCGTGTTTGCCTACAGATATCGTTCCAGTATTAGTGAGCTTAAGTTCGCGACGTTTTTGTCAACATACGGACGTCAGTTCGTGGGAGGACTGGATTAAAAACTGTGTTTTTGTCAGTTTGTGGTAATATTCAACACATAAGACAAAACCTAAGATTTTTAAAGTTTTTTTGCTTCCTTAGACGAGCGTTATGATGCATAATGCCACCAAAATTAGTCATATAGTAGCTATACCAATTTTCGGGCAACTTATAATTAACTTCCTGAGCATTGATATATTTTCAAGTTACACAAATACTTACAGTTACTGGATGAATAGCCTAACCGTGCTTAGAAGTTCACGGGCGACATGAAGCAGAACCATATTCTTGTTATCATGCATATGCACATGAAAGTCTTAGTCCAGGCTAGTCCATTGTTATTTTCCAGAACGCTTTCGTGAATTTGGCAGTGATCGTCGTTCAAGCTTGTGAGCAAAACTCTCACGACAAATTGGGCAGCGCGTGCTGTGAAAAAAAACCCAGAATGTATTTAGTTAGCGTGTTTATAAAAGCCTGGCGGCTAAGTTAGGGAGCCATGGAGCAATCTTATACCTCCATAGTATATGGGACTAACTATAGGGGGAAACCCATTAAATACAAAATTTTAAAATTTAGTTCAATTAAGAATTCGGTAGTGTTTTAGACTTAACTACAAACAGCTGCGAAAAATGTAACTCTACAACTCAACTTCTCTGGCAGGAATCGAACCTTCCGCCCTGCAATTCTGGTGCAGCAACCTAATCAACTAAGTGACAGACTCCAGGGTCCGGTTGTTCAAAGCTGGATTAGCTTCGAAAGGCGTTTAACTTAAACGGCGTTTAGCCGCTATCTGACGTATAAATTGCCTTTCCGACGGTTAGTTAACCGGACGATAAAATTACGCTGCACATGCAAAGCCCGTATAGTACCGGGTTTAACTATCCGTAGGATAACCATTAATTCACTCTACGTCAGCTGTTGCTAGGCATTTGTCAATTGTCTTGCCTGAGCTTTTGAAGCTTTATGTAACTTGCGAATTCCACTAAGCTTTATGTAACTTGTGAATTTCACTAAGATTTAAGGCAATAAAGTTTGTTGTTGTTTATGTTTGGAGTTTTCTCGTCCATTCGTTGCAATACCATATCAAACTTCTGATTTTTACATCGTGCTGACAGTGTTTCTCATTTACGTATTGATATTTCTTTAAAGGGTTTTGTCTTCTTTGTTCGAAAAGCCGAAGGCATGAGCCAAAACTGTCAGTTGTGTTGTCTTTTTTCAGTTTTATACTTTTATACAGTTTGAATATGTGTTCCTTAACCTTGTCTTTTATCCAAAACAATTTTAAGAACATTTTATCCCTAGTTTTGGTTGGCTTATCAAAGTGGTTAGGCCAGCGAACAAAATGTCGGCGTCTTATTGTCTATTTATTTGTGTACATTTGTCTGGCTTTCCAAAGTCATTTTTTTTTTTTAAAAAGCTAAAAGTGGGAGTCTTATTTGCTGTTTTCAAGCTATACAATAGCAGAAAAGGAGATAATATAAGATATACTTAATTGACTTTCCTAGTTAGTTTTTTCAATTAAAATGCATCTTAAAGACCATCATTCAAAAGGCTGAACTGTGCCTTTAAGCGTAAAAAAATGTACTCCTTGTTTTATACACGCTTTATAATCATGTTTGAAAAAATCTCTTTATCCCAAATCACAATTATTACATGCTAGTTTTGCATAGACGATGTTTTTAAACTGAGATCCAAGTCTTAAAATACAGTAAAACTGCCTATTTAGAATTGATCAGGGCAAACAGCGGAGTATAAAAAGCGCGTACGTTCGAATTCCGATAAATTTAGAACTAGTCAATAAAACGCAAATCGAGAGAATTTTTTGAAAATTTCTTATTTTATCTTGTCACGTTGAATCCAATAAAAAATTAAAAATCCTGACCCCCTCGAAGCTTTAATTAAGACCCTATATTTTCTGTTCAAATGTATGTTTTTACCGGAAGTGGGCTTTCTCAGCTCGCAGGGAAACTGCCTACAATAACTAATTACCCATTCTGATTGGCTTAGAGCGAAATTGTTAACAAATGCGCTGATTGGTCGAGAACGAAATTGCTCGTTGTCATCAGGGCAGCTTTTCAACAATTGTTGATCTAATTATACTATCTTGTCGTTGAGAATCTTGATTCAATTTCGCTGGTATACACATTGTGTTTCTGGATAGATTTTCACTAGCAGGGAAATTCTATCTGCTGATACTGTAATTGTAGTACCTCTACAATCTTTGACAATATAGATTGGGACAATCTAGTTTTCACATGAATTCGGTTGTAATATACCATTTTCTGATACATATTTTCCACCCTCCCTCCCCCGACCCGTTTCAATGTTGGCGCCGCGCATCCAGACATCAGATTGTTTGTTGGCCCAACATTGAACTGGGGGAACGGGGGGCGCTATTCCTTTCAAATCATATGAAATTACAGCAGCTGTCCCATAGTTTCTGGCAAAGATTGTAGCTTTATGATTGAAGTTGGCAAGCATTAACTCAATCACGATTTGAAATTCAAATTCTGCCTGTACCAGCCAGTAGTGGAAAGGTTGTGCTTATAGCTTTTCAGGATAACGAATTCCAATAAAAAGGAATAAGTCAAGTAAAAAAAGACTGGTAGTAATCAATGGTAACTGTACGACAGTAGGATTTTAAATAGTGTAAATGCCTCAATCCAAGGATCTATTTTTCGAGGGAATAGACAGCACCTCGCCCACGAGCTCAGTACCGTCCACTCTATCAAATAATGGACTAGTTTCGGATTTTTATCATTTCATACTGAAAGGACTCGCCTCTCCTCAGACAATAATACATGGATTCACAATATGTACTCAATACTTCCTACCTCTGTACGGTGTAATCGTATTTAATGTATCCAACTTATAAAAGTACAGGTACTCACATTCCGCTCCTTATCATTTGAGTTGCACATTCTTTATGGACTTTGTGAGAACAAGGAAGGATTTGACATCCAGTGAAAGCATCCTGCACGAAAAAGAAATTAAAATCCGTTTTATAACCCTGGTCAATGCTGAGAGCCCATTAAATTCGGCTTCCACTTAAGCCCTATTGTAGTGATTCGTACCCTATGCAGTTGTTTTGTAAGCACCAATGCAACTAATGCCATTGGCACAACAAACACTATGTGATGATTAAGTGAAGAACAACCTTTATGCCATTTCACACCGATTAGCAGAATGTTGTTCAGAAAAAGAAAGAAGAGATGAAGAGCTCGAATTGATACACTACCTCCAAACAAATGCAACATTCATCATGGGCAGAACCTTCACGACATTTGTGATTTCCACGAAGTTGGACATCCAAACAAACTCCACAGACATCACAATGGAACGAACGATCTCCATGAATTCTAAATTAAAATAAATAAAGTATTTCACTGAAATTATGTACTGCCAGGGAAACTTTATCAGCTTTGGACTGTTTTTATAAGTAATAGCATAGAAAGAGGCGAATTAGCTATTAAAACTTCCCGCCCGATGAGGGTCGTTTAGTAAAATTCCCTTCGGCGCCAATCGATGAGGGTCATTTAGTAAAATTTTACTAAATGACCCGAAATTAAATGGTATAATTGTTTTCCATGTCTTTGTTTAGTTTTGGCGATTTCATATATATTCATTTTTTCTAATCGTACCCGCTTTGACGTCGTTTCGGGTAGCATTACAACTAATTCTACCTGACATGACGTAAAAGCGGGTAGGATTAGAAAAATGAATATAATGAGGTGTATTAGTTATTAATTGCCCTGCGAAAACAAAGGGAATACCCGCAATCATGATATTATCCCAGTGGTACACCAAGGAGGGGTTCATCCCTCATTAATAGAAATTGTTCAGTGACTCTTGCTTTTCCGGCTTCCTCTCTGGCTGACGACTGTAAGGTTACAGCACACCCTAGGTCGTCCAAAAAATGGAATTTCTTATTCCTACACATTCAGAAAGCTTAAAAATGGCTCTCATATGCAAGAAGAATTTTTTTGAAAATATTTAAAATTGCATGAGTTATAAAGGATAATGTTTTTCAAATTTTATTCCTAGCACGAGAGCTTGCTATTACTGTTGACAACTTGTTAAGTATCAAATTTCGCTTCCACAAATTCCCCATGGTTGTTGATAATTACTGCTAACCACAGAGTAAAATACAGCAAATCGGACCTGCATGCTATTAGTCGGTGTTAAACCATATGTTTCCCTCACTCAAGGCATTTCCAATACGAAGTGATCAAGTAGAATAATAACGGGGATTTCATTTGCTCAGATCATAGCTCAGGTACAGAGAACACTTTTCATGGATAATAAACCGCTTGCATTGTTATTGGTTAAATTAACGTCAATCAGATATTTTTGCAATTGCAGTAAGTGTGAAAAACCTTCCAAATTTTCACAGCCTGTTTTTAGCGGAATGAATTTTGCGACATATGCACGCATTCAAAGGTTAAGAAAGCAAACATTTTATTAATTATTAACCAATTTCTTTCAAAATTCAATTAAAATATTGCGACATAATTTAGCTACAAAAGTGTATCTGGGAATATTTTTTAAAATCAAAATTAAGTATTTTGTGTTACAGGACTTTACATGTCATTTATTTAATTTGTGTCCCAACATAGGTCTAGAAAGAACAACATCTAGCTTGATAACGCATGAACCAATCGAAAATCCCAGAAATACGTTTCTAGATCAATCATCAAGGAGTGTAGAAAGTATATTTTGAGAGAATTTCAGTAAAACCAGAACGAACATAAACTCGTGGAAGACATTTACCTGCATGGATTTCAGATACTACAAAAACTTGAAACACCATTAA